GTCCGGGTAATACAAGGTCGCCATTTTGACATCTTTGGTCTTGAACCAGTCCACGACAGTGTCCACTCGCTCCTTGTATGGTGTGCTGTATTTGTAGTGGAACCAAATGTCGGGGCGCACACCTCTTATCTCAACCTCACTGCCGGGCCAGTAGTAGGTGCCTGTCTTCAGACCCTGAAGGTGAAGAGATATGTGCTGCTCTCATTTACCCTTATTTTAAAGCAGTAGAGAAGTTGTGAATGAACAATTACGAGGAGTGGCTATAAAGTCCCGAACCTCACTACGGAGGATGTATAGTACGCCCTCAGTTTACAGGTATTATGTATCATGATATTTTCCATCCTGACAAGTTGCAATAGAACCACATACGCACCAGGCAGCATATTTCTGAAGGCATCAACGTGACTAGGTATTCTCTGTTGATGAAAATTGACAAAATGGGCCACCAGACCATCATCAAATCACCAACAGAAAGCGCTAACTTTATATTGCAACTGTATATGCTGAGGCTCCTTCCGTTGAGGTGGTCACGGGTTCAAGAGGGGCAGTGAGAGTATCCAAGATCATACAAAATCATACAAGACATGCAACTACCACCACTAAGGAAATGAAAAAATAATGATATGATTAGGGATGATTGACGCCTCACAACATATCATATATACGGTAGGCATCTCTGAGAAAGTTGTTATATACTGAGGAATGAAGTGTGTATAACAAAGGGTTCAGCACAGCAGGATTCCAAGGCTTTTAACTTCTGATGAGAAAAGCATCAGGTTTATCATCTCTCGTGAGAATCAACCCCTGCTTATTTTGTTGAGCAATTTGTAACCATGGATCAGTCATAGATTCTTTCACCATTTCTGGTTTCCCCAGCCGAGATATTGCTGGAATATTGCTAAAAGCGGTGTAAAACCATACTCACTCACTTGTCATTAGCTAAAATGTACTTCCTTGATGCTATTTAAAAGTTTGAGCTATTCTGTGGGCAGAAACTCTTAGTGCAAATTTGGCAAAATGTGGCATAAAAACTCCCTCACTATCAGTTTCAATCCAAAATTCGTACTGCTCAGAATCCATGTTTGCCAGCACTGTGCTCACTGGTTTTACCATTCAGACTTCCCTCCTACATTAAGCCGTGGTGTAACAGTTCAAAGCGGTTCACTGACGCTCACTATAATGAGTCACTAAAACAACGTATAGTCAACAACGGAAGAATATGAAAATAGATAGCAGGTAAAAAAATCTAATGCCACACCTGATTTAAAATAAAAAAAGAGATAAAATCTCGCAAGGTAGCGTCACTTTCTTGGCTTATTTGATTGGATGTCCTGTAGAATCTGTGTTGGGACAGTACCTGATTCTTGGCTGTGACCCATAACGGTTCTCCCCCATCCCACCACTGAGCTGCATGTGTCTTCATGGTAAAGGAGCTTTTGAACACCGGGTCGTACATGTAGTTGGCTGTGATTCCATGGCTCTCCTCCCACAAACCTGATATTCATCCTTTCATATTAGTTTCAATGAAGGTATAAAGGCAGCATTATGCCTGTTTCATTAATCACTTGGAGTAGGGATGCGTTTGGAAACACTAGGCTCGATGGTTTAAATAAAACAGAAAACAAATATAAAACAACACGTGGTGTAATGGTTGAGGGATGTTGTCATTGCGATGAAATTGTCCAATACCCAACGAATATCCTGATTTAATTAATTAAGGGGGTCATCATGAAACTGTTGGTTTATTTTCTTTTTCAAACTTGTTTTATTTCAGTTCAAGCAGGCATACGTATCAATGGTTTTCATGGTGCTTCATAAGCGTAAATGATGGACAGTGAGGCAATGCGCACATAACATACACAGAAGAAAGTAGATGGGACTCAAATTTTCAATTTATCATATTATTGTGTTGAAAACTTAGCTTCAGAGAGTAAATAATTGTTCAAGGGTTTTGATTTTATCTCAAATGTAGTCAGTACCTTTCTTTTAAACATTGTACATAATAAATGTTAACGCTCTAATGAATACACCCAGAAATAAGAAATTGTTTTTCATATTGGATACATGCAAATGAATGATATAATTTAAAAGTAAACTCCTGGGATTACGGCACAATAATACTTTCCGATTTCGTCAAATTCTGTTTACTGGTAAAAGCGCAAGTTTATGCACGTTTCAATTTCAACCACAATCTTTCATGTACCCACCAGTTATCATGGTGTAGTGGTTAGGGAAGGTGGTCGTTACAAAGCTGTTGTTCATGTAGGGCAGCTTCACGCCGTGCCTGGCGAAGTCGTCAAAGTTTGGGGTGTCCACCATGTCCAGGTAGTCGTACCGGAAGCCGTCCATGGAGACGAGCAGCAGCTTCCCGGTGTAGTCCGCCATGACAGACACCACCAGACCCGCCAGGAGCAGGAGGAAGATGGAGGAGGACATTGTGTGTGATCAGCTGAAATATGGACTCTAGGAGGACACTGTATTGACCTAAAGGACTGATATGTGTCAAATAATAGAAACCTCTACAAAACGTAAGCTGTACCCTTTTGTTCTGTAAAGGAAATTCACATCCTGGCCCTTCCAGGACGAGAAGTTTTCCGAACTAACAGGAAATATAAAACGTCAACACCACAGTTTGATGGCTTGTTGTTTTACGCCGCACTCAGCAAAACCCCAGCCATATGACGACGATCAGTAATTAATCCAATCTGGACCAGACAATCCAGTGATTAACATAATGATGATTGATCTACGCATTTGAGATACGATGACATCCATTCACCAAGTCAACTAGCCTGACCACCCGATCCCGTTAGTCGCCTCTTAGGACAAGCATGGGTTGCTGAAGACAAATTCTAGCGCAGAATCTTCAGGGGACCAACACCACAGAGTATAAACAGTCTCTATTTTTGCTGTCAAATCAGATTCCATTGGGCTTAAATGGCAGGGTTGTGATGGAAATTGTAAAAAAAAGATCACTGAAAGTCAATGATGACACCAGGTGCCGAAGAAAGATTATAGGGATAGATGTGAGGTGAAATTTGGGTTTAACGTAGCGTTTAAGATTATTGCACTTATGTAGCGACGTGCATGTACGTGTGTATCTATGTGTGGTTGCTTGTACTTGTCCGGACTGATGCCGATTTATAGTGCTAGCACACTGAGATACCATGCCGCAGTTTAACATGAATACCCCACTCAGACACAGTATACTGACTCCGAGCAGACCAGTCCTTGTTTTAGCTTCTAATGCCGAGCGCCAGACAGGGTAACAACAAGTACCATCTTTTAACGTCTTTTGGTATGACGCGGCCGGGGATCGAACCCCGGACCTTCCGCTCTCTGGGCGGACGCTCTACCACTAGACCACGGAGGCGGTCAGAACTATTGAAGCTACTGATCCTGATTCTACTGAGCATACTTACTGTTCAGGGGCAGTTTCCCGGACCACTACGTACGAACCAGTTGATGGCAATATAATGCGTTGTCATATCAAGGTTCACTTGTGCACATACCATGTTTGGATGTCGTGTTAACGATGATAACAAATCAAAGAAAAAACCATCTGAACTGCAGAAATGTTTGCTTTTACTGTGTGGCAGGCTGATGTTGTTTGGCACGTTATCAAGTTGTGCAACCTTGCTACCCGATGGTGTTAAAAATGTTGAAAAGAAGGCCAAAGTTGACATACGTGAACTGTGTGTTGTCGTCATTCCATCGGTAGATACGTTGACATGCTTTGCTCAAAAGTCATGTAACTACAAGGCATATATTCACGAGATAGGCATAGATGACCGATCTCTCTCTCTCTCTCTCTCTCTCTCTCTCTCTCTCTCTCTCTCCTTATATATATATATATATATATATATATATATATATATATATATATATATATATATAATTAAAGATAGATACGCGATAAATCGCAAACAACGAAGCGTGGTTTATTCCATGATAGAACGTTGTTCTATCATGACGTCATCCTAGAGATTCGAACATGCGCTCGCAACTAATGACGTCATATATTGGTCGACGTAAATCGAGTAGTCGAGGTGAGGTTTGTGACAATATGTGGGAAATACCCACACGTGCATAAAATGGACCTCTGTTGAGGGAGTCATCATTATTTTAAATACGGGTAAATGTTTTCAAAACTTTACAATTTATTGACATCCTTAAGAGGCTGTACATAATGTTGATATCTCATATAAGAAATAAACGATCGTTTGGTCGTTGATTATCGTTCAATAAAACACTGCAGAGACCCCTCATGGTTTTATTCTCCCTGCAGTGTTTTATTGAGTGGATCCCTACTAGCCTAGGGAACATGTCAGAGTTCCCTTTATAAGTGATGCCAATTGAATGCTGTCAAAATATCATTTATAATATGAACGTACAGTACAGTTGTGTTATTTGACTTTACACACATTATTCAGATACGAATATTTCCTTGATTTGGGCGGCCGAAGAATCTTTCTCTGAACTTATAGGTTGAAAATGCATACTCGCCAATCACAAAGTGTTATCAAGGGCACGGGTCACCCAGTAGTCTAAGGCGCCGCGATTCGCTGAGCAGGGTTACGTCCCTTGGGCATGCCAGAAACCTATGATTGTGGGTTCGAATCTACATGTATGTTCGCCCCGATTATGTTTCTAGGTTTGTCAGCACCATACCCGTGCTCGTGGGTTTAACCGAAGTGGGAAACGCCTGAGACCTACATTACTACAACAGCTGACACGCCGTGATGTAACTGGAATACTGTTAAAAGCGGCGTTAAACCCAACTCACTCACTCACACAAAGTGTTATCAGGCCAAGCTTTGGTGAATAGTTTGTGAACTTCGCTTTCGTGAATTTCCCACTCCTGTTTGCAAGGAATTATTCTCTTGTTCACATTCTGTGATCCCTTGGACGTTGACTTGTGGCATGCATATTAACGGTTGATAGGTGCACACAAAGACACCTTAAGGTAGATTCAGTAAAGGTAACATTGAGTAGGAAGATGGAGCGAGACAGATTTTTTAATTCAAACAATATAATGATAACAAACCACAATAATATACAATTAGCCCCCTTTGTTGAAATAACGCTGATTGATGACACAATACTGTATTTTACTAGGACATATTATTGGTAATAATTGACAGCTTCTGCCATTCGAATTTACATTACAGTTTATGCGAAGCAGAAGTAGTCATAGTTATTTTACGCACTTCCAAAATAATTAGTACGGACATATTTACATCACCAGCATCTTGCATCTACGATGACAGTGCATCCAAATTTGTAAAAGTGATAATTTGTATTACTATATAGAAACATAAATTATATATATATCAGAAGAGCAAAATAAACTATGCCTCTCAGTTGCTTTTATCATATAAGAGATTTACAATTAGAAATACCTTAAGTTAGCGATATTATATCCAACAAATACCGTGAAGACCGTCGTCATATAGCTGGAATATTGTTGAGTGCGGCGTTAAACAACAAACCAATAAACCAACCAACAAATAAATTGTCTGGCGCTCAGTCAATACTTCTACATGGTTTTATTTTTAAAAATATATTCATTGGCTCCATTTATTTTTACAAAAAAATACCCAGCAACAGATTGCTTTTTACAAACTGTTGAAGGAATAAGTGATGGTTAAATAGACATAATCAAATTTAGCAACAGTTTAACATAAAAAAACCACGGTATACTTTATTTTGCCCCTCAGTATATGTTGGTAAATGGTCCTAAAAGGACGTTACAACAAATACATATATGGTTAAATAATCTCCTCATGCGTTCATTTCTAAATTAATAAAATAACTTAAACATAAATCTGTTTTATATGAACAATAAAATCCAGAACTAAAAGGAATATTTTGAAATGTTTGGGAATGAGCTACGACTGAGCACCGTTACATGGACATATTGTGAATGTTTACAGTTTTTCTCCAGCAATATGCATTTACTTTCCTTGCTGGGTTTGTATCGACTTTTTTATATTGCAGAAAATTCTTCAAAAAAAAAAAAGATAATGATGCTTCAGACTGTTGAAAATAAAATTGCCTGGCACAAAATATATATACAATGGTTGTGTAGCTGCAAAAATAGCCAGTCTCCATTCAAAATCCCAAACAAAATATTTAAATTGACATTTTTGTTTAACGCTGGACTCATCACTATTCTAGCTGTATGACGGTCATTTGTATATACTCAAGTGGGCAAGACAATCCAGTGACTAACATCATGAGCGCCGATCTAATGATATGCATCAGTTAAGTCACCGAGCCTACCACCCGATCTCGTAAGTCGCTTCTTACGACAAGCATGGGTTACTGAAGATCAATTCTAAACCGGATCTTCACGGGTCTATAGAAATAGTTTTGTATTTCATAGTTTCAGAAGCGATAATGTTCCTGCATATGTATGTGTAATCAGTGAGATCATTTGGTCTCGATGGTGAACATTGTAAGACCTTCGCCGTAAATAGCGCTTCATCATTTAATATTATGTGCAACATGAATTCATGGCTTGAAAGTTTCATATCTACAACATAAAGTTGGCGACGATTGTGAATGCAAGCAGACACTCGAAAAGCAGTATTGATGCAGCGGTCGAAGCCCCGGATGTTGGAGGAGTGTCTTGAATGAAGACACTGACACGGTCCAGGCTCCCGTTGTTCGGCGCTGGCTCTATGTTGAGCAGTTTACACACGAGAGGGTAGATGTCGACAATCTGGATAGGATCTGAAGTGAAGTTGGTCTTGAAGTTGGGTCCTCTCGCCAGGAATATAGGCTTCATTGACATCAATCTGTTGTCATAGCCGTGGGTGCCCTTTAAAGTATTTTTTGCCTGTTTCGCCTTGTCCTGCAAAAACATCCAATGTATAGTTGGAATCGTTATTGTTTTAGAGTTATTAAACCTATGTTTATGTGTTGTGCTTGCAATAACCATACACATCTGGTTTACTGTGAAGGGCAGGTTTCTTAGTCATCCACGGTTTACACTGGTTACCTCCCCTGAAATGACTATAATGGCCATGACCCCATTTGGACACCATGGCATCCCGTGGTCATCTTCCCTGTGTTTATAATGCGCATAACTCCCTGCGGTCATCCAAGACTTACAGTGGTCAGCTGCCAACCCTCATCTGCTATGATGACGATGGGCATGATCCTTCTGTTGTTACTGTAATGGAAATGTTCAGGGACGTTCTCTTTCTTGTAAGCTGTGATGTTGGGAACGCCATTCAGATCTTCCATGATGTCATCAACCTGTCCCTCCCTCGGCTGAATCTGCATCACGGGGCCGTAAATCGGGATACGTTCAACCTGTGTCATGTTTACGTGATCAGTTATATCGACGACCTGAAAAAAAAATTACTTGCATTATGTAATAAAAATAATAATAATAATAATAATAATAATAATAATAATAATAATAATAATATTGAACGTATTGCCAATGGAGGATCCACACTCAAAAAACAGTTTCTCCTTGTCGAGTCCTTTTCTAAAGATAGCGGCATGTCCTTTGGAATCGACAAGGTAAGTTAGAAGAGGGAGGATCAATCAGTTTACTTGGAGGAGTTATTGACCATCTCGTGGAAGGTCAGGCCTATACGTACTTAGGGTTGCAGATTAGGGACAAACTCCAGAATACCCATATCAAGGAAAAACTTCGTGCAGAGTACAAATGTAGACTTAAGAAAATCTGGAGTTCAGATCTGAACGTTCGCAATAAAGTAAAAGCCACAAATACTTATGCTGTACCCGTCCTTTCATATTCTTTTGGCGTTGTTGATTGGACGAAACAAGAAATTCAGGGTATTGACACCCTCACACGAAGAATCATGTCAGACAATAGATCCCACCACCCTCGCTCTTCCCTCAATCGCTTATAATTACCAATCATTATGGGAGGACGTGGTTTGATTAACGTTGGTGCTCTTCATGATAGAATTGTTTTGTGCACTTTTGCACACATTTATTTGTCTGATGATCCTCTTGTGAAGCATGTCAAGATTCATGATGAAAACAAGGCATTCCACAGATTTCTCAAACGAGCCAAGGATGTGGGACATAATCTCAATGTCGGTGTTGATTTTGTTGATGGTTCTGTACTGCTGGACGGTACAGCAATGAGTGTCAACAAAGCGAAGTGCCATATCAAGTCGGCCCAGACTCAGTTTTTTAAAGGAGAGGCTATCTGAACGACCACTCCTGCAGAGTCCTTCGCTTGGATGAAGTCATCTGGCCTGAAAAAAAGTGAAACAGAAGGCGTTCTGTTTGCTTCTCAGGACCAGTCTCTCCCCACTCGAAACCGTCAATGTGTGATTTTGCATCAAAATGTAAATATGAAATGTAGATTATGTAATGAATTTAATGAGACTGTCCAACACATTGCCAGTGGATGCCCAGCTCTGTCACAAACACAGTATCTTAAACGACATGATGGTGTAGCTCGATCATTTTATTACCTTCTTCGCCATGCTTGTGGTTTTGACACAGGGGTCCACCCATGGTACAACCCGGAATATGTAGAGGGCGTCATGGAAAATGATGACTAATTCTTTGGAATAGGCCCATTTACAGCCTCAGACATATCCAGGCAAACAAACCTAAACTTGTCCTTTTTGATAAATCCAATGAAATCATTTATATCATTGAATTTTCTGTCCACTTTGACACCAATATGATTGACAAGATTGAGGAAAAACATGGCAAACATGAGGACCTCGCTTTCGAAATGTCACGCTTGCATCCCAAGTACCAAGTTGTCCGACTCCCCATTGTTCTCGATGCCTTAGGTTTGGTACCTCCCAATCTGCTGACTGACATCGGGAGAGTAACCGGGTTTGCTACCAGGAATACAGCCCTTCTGACAATCTGGGTAATGCATAAGGCTGCAGTGTTGGGGAGTCTCCACATTCTCCGAAACGTTCTGGGTGGGTTTGACTAGGCAGCGCTTCTTGGGAGAAGTCCCATTCGCTGTCTGGGCTGCGTGTAGAGGGGGCAAGGGCCCAGAGCTGATGATGAGCCTAACCAGCCTGACTGTGCCAGTATCACCCAAACGCTTTTTGCTGCATTTGTTATTTATTTTAATCTGTAAATAATAATAATAATGAGACTTTCCATGACTAAGGTCATCCCATATCCAGATACCCATAGTAACTTATATATCAAAACACATGAACTTACTTTATTTACATTGTCAATTGCAACCATGCCATGGTCACTGGTAATGATGACATTGACCTCGTTTTCAAGGTCATTCTCCTTCAACTTTTGCACGAGGTAACCAAGGATACCATCCATGTACTTGACCTTGTCCCTAACTTGTTGAGATTCTGGACCATAACCGTGTCCTGTATGGTCAGGTTCCGGATAATACAGTGTCGCCATTTGGACACCTTTGGTCTTGAACCAGTCAATGACTGTATCCACTCGCTCCTTGTATGGGGTGTGATCACTGTAGTTTAACCAATAGTTGGGGCGCACACCTTGAATCTCGACCTCGCTGCCGGGCCAGTAGTAGGTGCCCGTCTTGAGGCCCTGGAAGCGGAACAAAACTATTTTGATATTCTCTTTTAGTGATTAAGAGACCAGGGTCTTTGGAGTGACGAGCGAATTCTTTAACCACTGGACTACCCCTCCACCCCTTTCATTGATGTAGTTGGTTGGTTGCAAGAGACCTTTGTATTATGGCCTAACAAAGCCAATCAGCCAATTTAGCAATCAGTAACCCAAAGTGGTTATCTCCCTTGTCATTAGTCACGAAAAAACTCTTTATTTCTGTATAATTACCACCAAAGACAATAAATTGATCTTAATTGTGCACCCCCTTTTCAAAAAAGCTGTATCCGCCCATGTGATGGTTAGTGATAAACTGTTGGGGAGGGCCGTCGCTCTATTACATGGTCTCTGGTTTAACAAAACACGTTTTCAAATCACAATATGATCCAGAAATACTGAAGGTACATATCTTTTGTTAACATCGTTCTGATGCATAGGTAATCTGATGTTTGTATAACATTTCCAAACCAAATGTGCTTGCATGCATATTGTTTTTTCACAGCCCGTTTTAAATTAAATCACGGTTTTGTATGATAAAATGTTAAACTGTTATTACCTTTGAGACGCGCTGCTCGTTAGACAAGACCCAGTCTGAACTGGTACTGGTTTAGAAATGCGCCTTCTCTATCACACATATATGTAGACAGATGTTCAGGGTATTGCATTTTGATAAATTTGATGACAATGATTACAGGGATATTGTAATGATATTAGTTTTGATCAATAATGATATCGATATTGCATGAAAATATAAAAGAAAATAGCATGTGAGGAGTGGTTTTATTGTTTTAAATTACGATATCTATTTCACTAAGTCGGTCTTTTCCTTTTGTTCGAGGCATAGTTCTGAAACAGCACATAGGACAATACATGTTTCCACGTTTATGCATCATTGAACAGGGGGGCACGGGTGGCCCGTTCGTCTAAGGCGCCGCGATTCTCTGTGCAGAGTTGCGTCCCTTGGGCACGCCAGAAACCTATGATTGTGGGTTCGAATCCCGGTTCTCCCCGATTATGTTTCTAGGTTTGTCAGCACCATACCTTTGCTCGTGGGTTGCACCGAAGTGGTAAACGTCTGAGACTCGCATCACTTCAGGCTTTCCTCCCACATTAAACTGACACGCCGCGATATAACTGGACTACTGTTAAAAGCGGCGTTAAACCAAACTCACTCACTCACATCTTTGAACAAGAACCTTTCCATCAATTCGCTGTCCTGAGTTGCGTCCCTTGGGCACACCAGATACATATGATTGAATTCCGGGTCGCCCTGATTATGTTTCTAGGTTTGTCAGCACCATGCCCGTGCTCGTGGATTTCACCAAAGTTGCAAACGCCTGAGACGTGGATAACATAGGGCTTTCCTCCCACATTAAGCTGACACCCCGTAACATCAATATCAAGCGGCGAATCGAATCAGCGAATTTAACCCAATTCACTCACCCACTAACTTCGTATCCACACTTGAGAACAACAACGAGTATGGTGAAGACGGAATCCATCATGTATTGCCAAATTTCTTCTTCTTTCAATTAATTTATATATACAGGCAGCTAGGTAGCTAGGTAATGTAGTTCTTGGTGTCCCCTACCATTACATGGCTGGAATACCAAAGCAGCGACATCCCAAGTCAATCACATCCACATACATCAGAGGCCAGCTGAAAACTAAACCCCACCCTATTTCATAAGGGTTGTCCTTCCTCCTGTTACGCCAACCCTGTGCATATGCATCATGTAACGATGACGTCTCTTGCATAAAGTGTTTCCAATGTAAAAACGACAAAACCCTTTTAAAAATCATAAGAAATATCTGTTAAATGCAAATCCGTTGTACGATTCCGGCTATATCATTAGCATGATAGTATTTCCCAATCAAACACTGATGATATCTGGTGAGCGTATCCTGTCCACCGGTGGTACGGCTTCATTGAGGCCTTAGATGACTTTTGAGTCGTATAATGCTCTTTGATCTTTGCAGACAGAGTATCCTCAAAGATGTGAAATGTAGATTGCAAAGGCCCGAGGCGCTGGAGTGAGTGAGTTTGGTTTTACGCCGCTTTTAGCAATATTCTAGCAATATCACGGCGGGGGACACCAGAAATGGGCTTCACACATTGTACCCATGTCGGGAATCGAACCCGGGTCTTCGGCGTGACGAGCGAACGCTTTAACCACTAGGCTACCCGACCGCCCCTCCGAGGCGCTGGAGTCTTGATTGAGAAATCGGTCTTCCCGCTGTATGGTGTAACGCTTTCGACCACCCGAATGTCGCTGGATAGCTGATCCAAACGTCCAAACATCGATTATATGCCATGCTGATATCACGTGGCAGGCACAAAAGAGGTTAGCTACGTGAGGTTGTGTTGACCCAGTTTCAAGCATGCCTATGCATCTGTCTAATTCTTCGGTCGTCAAACGACGTCTTTGACGCTGAGGGGGCATAAGTGCTTTCAGTTGTTGCAATCCTCAGTAGCAAACGTTGTTGTTGATGATGATAACGATGTGCAACGATTCTGTCACGATACATCCAAACACAGGTTTTCAAGCACCTCGTGCACATCGTGCCCGTGACTGCATGCCTTCGTCCGTTCATCATGAAATTGAGGTCAAATAGGGGTCATTTAGTCTGTCATACAGACCCTGATACAAATATATATCAAATACAGCCCATGCAAGTCTATAATGTTTGGCAAGTCTAGATCACTGAGCTCCTTTTTATTATATTTTTATTAAGATAACTGAACAACTGTTTTTTTATGTAAGAAGTGTTCATTTCAGAGACTAGATGTTAGTCTACCCGTCATTGTGTACCGGGATGTTTCAGTCTATTTGTTGGATGATATTTTTTATTTCATCAAACGGTGAGTTGTATAATTGCTGACTTTTGGAACTTTGAAGTCAATCTCTTGTCATAAAGTGTTAAGGATGGCATTTTGTAAGAAATGTATTCTGAAATATGAGTGTACCTGCTTCTTGGCTGTGACCCACAACGGCTCTCCCCCATCCCACCAGCGTGTCTCTTTGGTGCCCATGTTGAAGGTGGCGTTGAACTCGGGGTCGTACATGTGGTTGCCAATGATGCCATGACTCTCTTCCCACAGACCTGTAGACAGGGTAGATAACGTTTTAATTCATCATTTTCATGTGAGCGGAACACCCTCCACAAACACATTAAAGGACGAGATGTGGTAAGGGAAAGTACCATTTCAAGAAAATTATATAATATTGGTATGAAATTATCAGAGATGATTTTCTTACACATGCAAGTTGTGAACTTCTGAAATGATTTGCTACATAACTGGAATTAAATTGTATGAGTGGGTTATTTATTTATTTATTTATTTATTTGTTTATTTATTTAAATATTTATTTATTTATTTATTTATTTATTTATTTATTTATTTATTAATTTATTAATTTATTTATTTATTTATTTATTTATTTATTTATGGAGGGGGTGTGGGAGGGGTAGGTTGTCTACACAAAAAGCGACGATCATGCCGCTTTCAAAATTTGTTTAAAAACAACCTGGTATATATCTGAAGTCGGGGATCTACACATGTCGACCTAGGTCAGCTTGAGTGTGCGTACAAGCGTTGATGTACACTAAGGCAACAGCGATGTCTCCATTCGCGGCCATGATAAGATAATAACTGTTTTGTTTCTTACTCACCAGTCACGATGGTGTAATGATTTGGAAATGTCAAAGTCGTGAAGCTGTTGTTCATGTAGGGCAGCTTCACGCCGTGCCTGGCGAAGTCGTCAAAGTTGGGGGTGTCCACCATGTCCAGGTAGTCGTACCGGAAGCCGTCCATGGAGACGAGCAGCAGCTTCCCGGTGTAGTCCGCCATGACAGACACCACCAGACCCGCCAGGAGCAGGAGAAAGATGGAGGAGGACATTGTGTGAGATCAGCTGAAACACGGCAAATATCAATACAGTGTCTTAGACTCAGCAGCACCGAAAACCAGACCTCTGCACTGGTCGTGACTGTGTTTGATATGTGTGTCCCACTTTGGATCTGTGGTACTGATTACGACTACCAAGTTATCTAAACTACTCACAGAAATAAAAAAAACAACTGTATTTTCGACCTCAGATCTTAAATAAATGTAGTTAATATACAAAATATGTAAATATTCAAACAACTCAATTAGAACTAATTGGGCCGTGGCACAAATACAGCGTATCAAATGTTTGTATGCCTTTTTACACGTAAAAGTGTGTAAAAATGTGAATAAAACAGACTCTTGTGAAACAGGGCATAACCAGGTGTAAGTAGATCAAAGTGACCTATGACACCTTGACGACAGGTGAGAACAGGTGCATAATGCCTATAGTCTGTTTCTGCTATGTCAATTTGGACTTAGTTTTATTTTTGCATGTTGAAAGTGACGACAAATTACCTCCTGTAAAGTACATTTTGTATTGTTCACTGAGATCGAACTAGCAAATCCAGACTAGTACTTTTCGACTTGTTTTGTTATTTCGTATTTAACGCGACGTAACACTTTGTGTCGATTTTTAAATTGAGAAAAACAGGTTTTTTTCATTTCCGTGAGTACTTTAGGCCGTGTCTTTGGTTATAGCTTATGTATGTATGTATGTATGTATGTATTCATGTATGTATGTATGTATGTATGTATGTATGTACGTACGTACGTATATATGCATGCATGTGTAAATTCCAGCCTAGTTCGGCAAGGGTGGAAATTGGACTTTTAAAGTCCGTTAACTCTCTTGCTTCGAGAAGTATGGTAATGTTGTAAGTCCTGAATGACATACTGGCGTCAACTACCACCAACGTGTGCAGGTCTAAAGCTCCCTGTTTCCTGAGAAATGTTGCTATTGAAGATCCATCTCACCACACAGACATGCTTGTTGAGGAATTGTCGTCTGTATTTCAACATTATGACAAGGCTATTACTGGTTATATTTCAGTGGAATATGTTTGCTCAGAGGAATGTATTTAGAAAGTGTATCACAGACTGAAGAATTCAAAGAAAGAAATGAAAATACCACTGAAGTTAAAATCCTTTTGCATTCCAGAACAGCTCGCCTCTGAATGCAGTACATGAACGTGGCTATTCTTCGCCAATTTATCAAGGCAGAGAGAACAGGAGACTGGCATATCCATAGTCACATCCTTACATCAATGCTTCACTCTTTTGCTGCTGCTGGGCAAAATCTACATACCAAATCCGTTTGATAAATATTCCACTTTTTCACACTTTTCACTTTTTTCAGAGGGTGTTGTCATGGAAACGCACTGTTTTATATGTCCGGCCAATTGCACACGTCTACATTTATAGTCTGTTATAAAATAAACATTATGCAATCGAAAACACTTGATTTCCGTTTCAAACTGTTCTGGGTTACGTAATCTTTAGTTGTAGATTGAGGTGGTGGTGGAATGGGGTTTAACGTCGCGTCCACGATTATTGCACTTATATAGCGACGTGCATGCACGTGTATGTGTGTGTGTGGCTGCTTGTACTAGTCCGGACTGATGCCAATTTATAGTGCTAGCTCACTGAGATACCATGCCGCAGTTTAACATGAATACCCCACTCAGACACAGTATACTGACTCCAAGCCGACCAGTCCTTGTTTTAGCCCCTTAATGCCGAGCGCCAGACAGGGTAACAACAAGTACAATCTTTTAACGTCTTTTTGTATGACGCTGCCCGGGATCGAACCCTGGACCTTCCGCTCTCCGGGCGGACGCTCTACCACAAGACCACGGAGGCGTTCAGTTGTAGATTGACTATACTAGTAACACCCATCATTCACACAAGCCACGTGTATAGGATATGACATGGGATATCATCGCGCATCATGTTGACAAGCCACGTGTATAGGACATGACATGGGATATCATCGCGCATCATGTTGACAAGCCACGTGTATAGGATATGACATGGGATATCATCGCGCATCATGTTGACAAGCCACGTGTATAGGATATGACATGGGATATCATCGCGCATCATGTTGACAAGCCACGTGTATAGGATATGACATGGGATATCATCGCGCATCATGTTGACAAGCCACGTGTATAGGATATGACATGGGATATCATCGCGCATCATGTTGACAAGCCACGTGTATAGGATATGACATGGGATATCATCGCGCATCATGTTGACAAGCCACGTGTATAGGATATGACATGGGATATCATCGCGCATCATGTTGACAAGCCACGTGTATAGGATATGACATGGGATATCATCGCGCATCATGTTGACAAGCCACGTGTATAGGATATGACATGGGATATCATCGCGCATCATGTTGACAAGCCACGTGTATAGGATATGACATGGGATATCATCGCGCATCATGTTGACAAGCCACGTGTATAGGATATGACATGGGATATCATCGCGCATCATGTTGACAAGCCACGTGTATAGGATATGACATGGGATATCATCGCGCATCATGTTGACAAGCCACGTGTAAAGGTCTTGGCATGGAACGTCATCGCGCATCACGTTGACAAGCTCCATGCCACATTTAATAAATTCCGGACGCAATACAATAAAATTCTGGAGGCACTTCACCAGGACTTTGATGATGAAACCTTGATTGAAAAGGTAAGCAAAACGAATATGTGCCTTTCCCTGAATCTGGAATAAAATGTACAAGCTCTATACGACTATCGACACCATACACTGGAGCTGATGGCATATTGTTCCACTTGAAGGGCAAATTCACGATTGGAAAATCGAAATAAAAAAAGAGAGCATCTGTCGTACAGCTGGAAGACGCCACTGTACAGCTGTCAAAGTTTGCTTGTGAATATAAGATTGGGTACTCACTGTTCAGTGTACGATGTCAGCATGAGCGGTGACGATGTCAGCATGAGCGTTGTTTCCTGGGCCAGTGTGGAAGCTTTGTACCACTACCATATCTGGCCGTGTTGCATATCGTGATGAGATAGCGATCTAGTTTTAGCCCCCGTAATATCGCTGATAACCAGGCGCACGTATATCAAACTGTAGGATAAAGTTTGACAAGTCCACGTCGGGGAATGGTAATTTATTACAGGGATTGGTGGGATGACCCTCCCCTAATGTCTATAGTATTTGTTTGATGACGCTCCCTATGTGCTACCAACGCATAAGTTTTTCTTCGTGTTTTTTTATCGTTCCCAATTCATATGCCCTACTACTGTTAAAAACACACTGGTTTGATGCATAGTCTGAGATTCTTCCACAAATGGATGTTCGATTGGATTTGAGGTGAGGTGAAATGGGCGGTTTAAAGGCGCATCCAAGATTATTTTACTTATATAGCGACCTGCATGTACATGTGTGGCATGCACCAGTCCGGACTAATGCCGGTTTTATAGTGCTAGCCCACTGAGATACCATGCTACAGTTTAACATGAATACCCCACAGTATACTGACTCAGATCCGACCAGTTCTTGTTTCTTCTCCGTAATGCCGAGCCTCAGGCTGGACCAGACAATCCAGTGGCTGACATCATGGGCATCGATCAACTGGGATACGATGACATGCATCCACCAAGACAGCATTGAACCTGATTCCCCAATCACGTTTGTCTCCGGTTACGTTAAGTATGGTTGCCGAAGACCTTGACGGCCAGTCCATGACGTTGACTCCCGCATTCTGAAGGAAAATCCTTGTCAAAATTCCTGTATGGGGTCTGGCATTGTCGTGTTGGAAGATCAAAGCGGGTCCATGTGCTGCCATAAAAGGCAGAAGTTCTGGTGCCATTACCTGATCGCGGTAAGCAGCAGCGTTGAGGTTGCCACGGATGACAAGAAGCTTGGAACGCTCATTGCCACAGAAAGCACCCCACACCATGACGCTTCCGCCTCAAAATCTGTCAACTTCCTGTACACAACACTGGGCGTAACGTTCATGACGGCGCCTCCACACCCTCGCCCTACCATCAGCAAATCGAAGATTAAATCGGGATTCATCACTGAAGACGACTTGATTCCAATTGCTCTGAGTCCATCGTAAGTGTCGTTGTGCCCACAATTGACGTTGACGTCTGTGTAATTGAGTCAGAATCGGCCCGCAGTATGGCCGTCGTGCTTGAAGGTGAGCAGCTCTCAGACGGTTTCGAACAGTTTGCGCACTCAGTCTACCCCTAAACAGTTCATTTCTGGTTGATGTAGCCGTCAAAAATCGGTTACGGAGGTGACGTAAGACAATCTGACGATCCTCTGCATGTGACGTCACTCGTGGTCGACCTTGCCGAGGGCCTTCAGCAGTGGTACCCGTGTGCTGTAGACGCGTCTGTAAATCATAAACAGTCCGTCGACTCCAACCCATCGTCCTTGCGACTCCAGCTACGGACGTTCCCGTCTGCAACATGCCGATGGCACGTTCACGTTGCACATTTGAAAGGCGTGGCATGACAAATGGCCGTAAAGACTTTTGTTTTCTTGTGTTTTTCTTTTTTTGTTAATGACTGCTAACAAGTATGGCTGAAAACACGTGCGGTATTGTTGGCCACGTGACCAGTCGCACGTGAAAAACCACTTTTGCCACTATAGTGCTGTGCACATGATTTAGATCGATTCACCTGCACAAAAACGAGTGTTATCTGAAGACAATACGTGGCCATTACTGTTTGAATACACAATAAGGGCCCACAATGATAACTGGTCAAAATGTTAAAATTTAAGGATTGTGATGTTTTTAATTTGGTTCAGTATACATTGGCAATGACAAAAACCGTTGGGGCATGATGACACACTCAAATCACAGATAATGACCACCCTACCCAATCTCTAACGACAAGCATCAGACAGCTGGCGACCACTTGAAATTATTAAAATACCATTGACAGGTTTGCAAGGCTAATAGGAAGCCGTGTATGTTTGAAGTATACGGGAAACGTTAATTTTGTAGCATGTATGTCGACATGTTGGTTTATTTGAAATTTCAAGCCACGCATTTACGGAAACAAAACATACAAATCATGTGCGTAGAATGTTGATGCCATTCTTTTCCAGCAATAAGAGATACTTCAAAATCGTCTTTATGTAGTTAATTGATGCATCTGACCGTTTCTGGTCATTAGCTGACATTATCAAACCATTCATGTGTAATCCGATGTCCTTTTTTCCCAAAGGACTCATTTTCTGATTTTCACGGTGTATACAAAAGAAGAACTCTGCTCCGGAGATCGTAAATAATAGCATTTAGTGATTAGAGTGAGTGAGTTGGTTTAACGCCGCTTTTAACAGTATTCCAGTTATAACACGGCGTGTCAGCTTGGTGTGGGAGGAAAGCCCGAAGTGATGCAGGTCTCAGACGTTTACCACTTTGGTGAAACCCACGAGCACGGGTATGGTGCTGACAAACCTAGAAACATAATTGGGGCGAACCGGGATTCGAACCCACAACCATAGGTTTCTGGCGTGCCCAAGGGACGCAACTCTGCACAGCGAATCGCGGCGCCTTAGACGACTGGGCAACCCGTGCCCCCTTTAGTGATTAGAACTAAATGCCTTTATGTTAGGCTTGGCACCGTTGCTTATATTATTACAGCGAAATACCTTCATTCCGTGCGGCTACGTGCTGTTTTGCATGGTGCCATCGTCTCGCCTAGATCCGCTCTTGGCACGTCCGGTAAAGGAGCGTTTGTTTATATTTTCTATGACCTGCTGTAGCGTGACATCAGCCCACGCAGCAGTTGCTCTCCAGCTTTCAGCCGTACAACACATAGTTATATACGCGCATTCGTCTATAGTTCGTTGCAATTACCATTAAGAATGCCACCAAAAAGACGGGCCGTCTTAAATCACCGCCTCGTAAGGAGCGGGAAAATTGCCAGGAGGGAACCAAGTGTCCGGCAAGCGACATCGGCTACTGGTAAGTCACGGAGATCAGCTAGATCTCCATTGCACGGACCCCCTTGCCAAGTGTACAAATAGCTGCTAACTTGCAAGTTGAAGCAGATGATTCGGACAATTCAAACGTTCTCCCGCGAGTCGATCACGGAGACAACATCGAAGAGCCCCAACAAGTGGTGTCACCCGTTCCGTCGATGCTAGCTATATATATATCGAGCCAACTCAACACCATACTGGACATGCTAGACAAATCGGATGGCCCAAGATACTTCTCGGAGCTTTTTACTGGCATGCGAGGGGTAAGAACAAATGATCTAGGGGTAACGGGCCCGGGGTCGGTGGTGTCAAGAAATCCCGATGTGTTGTCATTTAGCAGTGCACACTCGGGCGAGCCGGGAGTGTCCCGTGACGTCACACCACGTGCAGAGTCAGGAGCGGGGTCAACCAATCAGGGAACAGGGGATTCCCTGACCTTCCAGGCGGATGCTATTAGCGCTCACGTCCGTCAAGTTTTACGGGAGAGAGTATGGAGAGGGGAGTTTGTGGAGTTGACTACACTGTTGCCAGGCGCACAGTCGCATGACGACGACGATGACGATGCATTTAAGATGCAGATGGATTCGTCGGGTACTCTGCGATTCTCGCCGGCCAAGCCGGCTAACGCCAGGGCATTAAGCATAGGCCAATGGACGTCAGCTTTCCACATATATATGAGCATTTACGTGGTGAAACATTTTTGTCAGTCCACTATACAGGTCATGTTTGCATACATGGAAACAATCCGTAATGCCGCAGTCCGCTCCGGGGGTTTTGGCTGGTCATACTACGACCAGCAATTCCGACACCGTATGGCACGAGACCCAATTCGGGAGTGGGGCAAGATAGACGGTGAATTGTGGTTGAAGCACATGACACCGACGATGTCCCGTGTTCGAGAAAATAAGACTGAACGCTTGACAGTGCCTTTCAGCAGGGGCCGTGACTTAACAGTCAACGCATGCTGGGACTACAACAGGTCAAGGTGCGCCAGGCCAGAATGCAAGTTTATTCATAAATGCTCCAATTGTGGCGAACAACATCCCGCCTATTCTTGCTTTCGCGCAAAGGGGGGTCGTAGACCCTCCAAACAACTTAACTCCACACAGGCAACCCATGCTAAAGGCACTGGCCCCAACTCCACTCATACTCACTAGATTAAAGCGACATTTGCTACTGTACAAGCATTCTAACCATGCCCATGCCATTTATTTATTACAAGGTTTGGAATCAGGTTTTCAACTGGAGTATAGTGGGGCACGCCTAAGTCGTTGGTCTGACAATCTACGCTCAGCCAGGGATCCCATTTTACAAGAGATAGTAGCTGCCAAATTGAAAAAGGAAGTAAAATTAGGTAGGGTGGCAGGTCCTTTCGTTTCACCCATCGGTCTCGTCCCCAAAAAGCAAACGGGTCAGACGATTTTCGTTTAATACACAACCTTTCTTATGCTGGGGACAGACGATTTTCGTTTAATACACAACCTTTCTTATCCTCAAGGCAGATCAATCAACGACAACATAGACAGCGAAGCATGCTCCGTGTCATATGCACGGTTCGACGAGGCTGTCAGTATGGTAATGCAACTTGGTCCAAATGCTCTACTTGCAAAATTTGATGTGAAATCGGCTTTCGGGATTATGCCAGTACACCCTCAGGACTTTGAGTTGCTAGGCTTGTGCTTTCAAGGTAAATACTACTTTGATAAATGCTTGCCGTTTGGCTGTTCCATATCATGCTCAGTGTTTGAAAAATTCAGCACCTTTTTGCAATGGTGTGTCCAGCAAAAGTTGCCTAACCGCCAACTCATGCATTACATTGATGATTTTCTCACAGGCGGAAATGCAGGAACGAAAGACTGTGATGACAACCTTGATACATGTCTCAGTACTTTCCAGGAGCTTGGCGAACCCTTAGCGCATGAGAAGACAGTAGGTCCTGCATCCTGCTTAACATTCCTAGGTCTTGAAATCGACACAGTCAGGATGCAGGTTAGAATACCACAGGAAAAGATTGTAAATATCAACGCAATCATACACTATATGCTGGCCTCAGGTAAGCACAAAGTGACCCGTAAAGCTTTGCAGTCTCTGGGGGGTAAGCTAAATTTCATGTGCCGGGCAATACCCATGGGTAGACCGTTTTGCCGCAGACTGATAGATTCCTGTACAAAGGTAAGTCAACAAGCACACCGTGTTCGCATCACGCGGGGAGTTCGGGAGGACCTAGAGGTTTGGCTCGGGTTCTTGGGGGAATTTAACGGCGTGTCGGTTTTCAGAATCAAAAGTGGGCTGACAATACATGTCTGCAGCTGTTTACTGACGCAGCCAGCACTGTGGGGTTCGGCGCATACTATAACGGGAACTGGGCAAACGGGCTCTGGCCCCGTGAGTGGGTGGAGGACGGCTCGACTCGTGACATGACACTGCTGGAGTTGTTTCCGATCGTGCTGTCAGTTTGTCTGGGGGGAACAGCCTTTGCTAACAGGAAAGTACTTTTCTTTTGTGATAACCAAGCTGTAGTGTCAATAATAAATAAACAGTCTTCAAAGGCACCTAGAATCATGTCACTGCTTAGGCAGCTAGTGCTGCAGTGCCTCAAACACAACATTTTGTTCAAGGCCAGATATATAACAACACACGACAATATTATCGCAGATGCACTGTCGAGATTTCAGTGGGAACGATTCCGCAATGCAGCTCCATCAGCCAACCTGCATCCCACACCACTTCCAGACAATCTCTGGCAGGGCTAACAATCGAGGCAGAGAGGCTCCTTCAGCGATCATTGGCGGCAAACACGTGGGCAACTTACCAGGCAGGAACCCAAGCGTTGCAAGCATTCAGGGCGTCACAAAACCTGGGAGATGTCTGGCCGGTTCCAATAACTCATCTGGTACATTTCATTGCTCACCTGTCAGTGTCAGGACATGCACCGAGTACGGTAAGGACGTATATGGCCGGTATCTCAACGTACCATAGGCTACACAGCATGGAAGACCGCACCGGCCACTTTGTTATTACTAAAATGATTACCGGGATGCAAATGTGTCAGGGGAGGCAGGATCACAGAAAACCAATAACAATAGACCTGCTCAAAGTAATTGTAAACAACCCGCAATTTGTCTGCTCTTCTACCTATGAAGTAAGATTGTTCAAAGCAGTATATTGCTTGGCCTTCTTTGGTTTCTTTCGGGTGAGTGAACTCGTGCAAACCAAACTTTCTCAGCCAGGGTGCGCTTTCTTAGACCTAGAAGTCCAAGACACGACTAAGACAGTAACAGTCGCTCTAAGGCATTCAAAAACGGACAGGCAGTCACAAGGTATAGTTGTTTCCATTTCCGCCATACCTGACCACAATCTGTGTCCAGTGGCTGCAGTTAAAGCATACCTAACAGTTCGATCACAGGGTCAGACTCAAGCTTTCGTACACTTTGATAAATCTCCCCTGACCAGGTATCAATTTCAGGCCGTTCTAAAAAGAGCACTGGCGCATAGCGGCATCTGCACAGCAGCATTCCTTCAGGATTGGCGCAGCAACGACAGCAGCCGGTAGCGAGTGAGTTCAGAATTGATACAGCACTTTGGTTGGTGGGGGTCAGAATGTTATAAAAGCTATATACGCATACCTGCAAACATTTAAATCGCCAACCATGCAAGAACAGTTTTCTTCCTATTGATTCATGTTTTCAGTATGTTTGGTTGGGTCCAGCTTCCTGACCCGGGTGAGAGAGCACCTACATGTCGACGGAGACTTCGGTATTCCAGGAGGATGTCTCTGGTTGGCAAGGGGCGGCATGAGGTGGGAGGAGCTGACCAAGCTGATAGATGCCCAGGTCAAAGCAATGCAGACACCACCAAAGGCGGTGGTGATTCACCTTGGTTCGAACGACCTGGGTAAGGTAACCACATGTCAGCTATATCATGAGATCAAGCTGGCACTCCTGAGGATACACCTCCTCCTACCTGGTGCTGTCATTCTGTGGTCAGACATGCTGCCACGGAGGTACTGGCATGTAGCCAGCCGTTCCCGGGGCCAGGCAGAAGCTGAACAGACGAGTGGGGAACAGGGCCCGTGAGCTTGGGGGGATACGGGTTCCCCACACAGTGTTCAACCGGCAAGAGCAGCAACTGTACCTGCGTGACGGGGTTCACTTGTCACCGGTCGGACTTGATCTATTCACACAAAACATTGACAGCTCCCTTTCCGCAGTATGCTTGTAGGAAATATTTTCAGTATAGGATAACACGGTGGGTGTACATGAGCGCGAACGGTCGTGGTTGTGGGGAAGCACCTTGGTGCTTGTGGCGGGGTGCTGGTGGACTGCATTACAAGTTACATTTGGCGTCATGGGATACATCCAAAATTATAAATTATTTAGGATAGGGTTGCCCGCTTTACAGCAGGAACCAATTTATCCATTCTGCTTTACAGCAGATGGCTTAGTGTCCGCTTTACAGCGGATGGTCAGCTTGGCAACAATAGTTGCCCTCGCTCATGGTTTGGCAATGGTACTTGCCTGGCAGCGATAGCTGCATAGCAACATGGGTTGCGTGGCAACGGTAGTTGCAGGGCAGCTGGCGCTGCATTGGTAAGCAACATGGGTTGCTCGGCAACGGTAGTTGCGGGGCAGCGGATGCTGCAGTTGGGGTTGCTTAACAGGGGTTAAGCTCATTTCTGCAGTCCACCAGTACCTCCACATCCGCGACCATTTCATCCAATAATATCTCTTGTCTTAATTTGAAGTTCCGCTCTCATGCATGATAGCGGAGCCTGTCATAATGGAGCCATGTCCTTATATAACAGCATAATAAAAATTATGTTCTGAATATGCTTATTCATGAACAACGACGACATCTAAATTTAAATGTAATATGGCTGAATTCCACATTCCACATTCCACACTTTTTTATTGTTTGGATTCTCATGTTCACTGGAAATATTTGGAATAGACTCGATTATTTACAGAACGCCGTCATATAGCTGGAATATTGCTGAGTGCAGCGTTAAACGACAAACCAGTAAATCATCATCATATGAACTCAAACCAGTCATTGTTACAAGTAAACCACATTCCACAACAGTTACTGACTCTGGATAATAAACAGTACATAGAAAAAAACAAGTTACTCAACTCATCATGATCACAATTACTATTCTTTGAAAGAAACGTAAAACAAGAGACGAGGAATCTCCGTTATTGATTAGTCCGGGTATTGAAATGTTCTCCAACTACATTGATAATATTTTGAGTATGTGCATCTGTGGTTGTGACAAAAAGACCTTATCTAGTATGACTTTATTGCCATATGGAGCCCCTAGTATTTTCATTTACATTATTATAACCAAATGCCAAGTGTAAAAAGAATGTGATGTATTATTTGAGTATGTGCATCTGCCAATGTTGTTGGCAGTTTTGATACTATTTCCACACGTTTACATTTGTGCCAGAAATTGCTTCCATTTCCTTCGATCAACTTTTTAAATAAAGACCCAGGTTAGAATAGGTCTTCAGCAACCTATGCTTGCTGTAAGAGGCGACGAACAGGATTGGGTAGTCAGGCTCGCCGATTTGGTCGATGCATAACATCATATTCCAATTGCGTAGTTCGATGCTCTTGGTGTCAATCACTGGATGATCTGGTCCAGACTGGATTATTTACAGACCGCCGTCATATGTTGTTTCTGATCATTTAGTCCCTTTAAACTTGAACTTAGCCTTAGAGCATACATTGGAATAAGTCAGAGTTTGATTGCTTGCCTGTTTAAGAATATATTCTCTACCACCCATCCCAGTGAACAAAACGAAGAAATGCACAACCAAACTATTAATTGTGAGTGAGTGAGTGAGTTGGGTTTAACGACGCTTTTAACAGTATTCCAGTTATATCACGGCATGTCAGCTTAATGTGGGAGGAAAGCCCGAAGTGATGCAGGTCTCAGACGTTTACCACTTTGGTGAAACCCACGAGCACTGGTATGCTGCTGACAAACCTAGAAACATAATCGGGGCGAACCGGGATTCGAACCCACAATCATAGGTTTCTGGCGTACCCAAGAGATGCAACTCTGTACAGCGAATCGCGGCGCCTTAGACGACTGGGCCACCCGTGCCCCCCAGACTGATACAGCTATCTATGAATTTACGTTGTATCGATTTGACACATCTGTATAATCACCGTTCCATGATCGACCAATGATCAATGGTGACTTACACTTTTAATCTCCACAGGTTCACGTGTAACTTAGGAAATCTCTCCCGTCACGTTTATCGTGTCGGCAATTTTGACGTCCTGCACTTGATGTGAATGTATTCCGACGCGCTGTGACTGTGACTGACGAACAGAGCTAGGTCTTAAGAGATCCTTTTCATATGATGATTGCATTATTTGAAACTATTTGTTGTCACCAAACACCAAAAGATGTTACTGTAGAACACTTTGAACATACGGTACTCGTGTAACGTCCGCGTAACAGCTGGGTGTTGTATGGCTTTCAGTGAAAACGTGATGAAATCACACGTACCACATGAAATTGTATAATACATCCCTGGAAGTTTGAAATAGTCATATGAAAAATTATAAGAGTGGGTGCCAAACTGTCTCAACGTCGGAGCTTGCGAAGAGTCAATTCTTACTTGTTTTGTTTGGTTGTTTTTTAACGCCGCACTCAATATTCAAGCTATATGACGGTGGTCTGTTAATAATTGAGTCTGGACCAGAAAATCCAGTGATTGATATCATGAGCATCAATCCACGCAATTGGGATACGATAATATGCATCAACCAAGTCAGCGAGCCTGACCACCCGATCTCGTTAGTCGCCTCTTACGACAAGCACAGTCGCCTGTTACGGCAAGTATGAGTTGCTGAAGACCTATTCTATCCCGGATCTTCACGGGTTAGTCAATTCTTAATAACACTGAATAAAACTTGAGTATCTGTAGTTTTACTAAGACCATCAAGTACCCATACAGACAAGACAAGACATTTTGGCGTTTGTAACAATATTTTATTAAGGAAACCAGTCTGAAGTTAATAGGTATGTTATGTTAATGTATCCGTGACTATCGAGGATGACCTTTATCAAGGACAATAATACTCAGCTTTAATCACTGTGACCGTGGTATTTATCTAGAACTCTGGAAGGGAATAGCATATTTTGACATGACGCGGTCACGTCAAGGCAGCGCCATCTTGATAACCACAAATTAGCATAGCAAAGTGTTTGTGATGGACTGCCACTTGACAGCTCAGCACGTATTCCATTCTTAGGGTGGTGGTGATCATGTCATTTTTTGTGGGGGATCATTACCTGCACAATTTCTTCAGGAACATGTCCCGCGGTACCAGAGAGGTTGATATGCTAACGGGTCAGAGGGGTCGTTAATGCTAACGGGTCAGAGGGGTCGTAAATGCTAACGGGTCAGAGGGGTCGTTAACGCTAACGGATCAGAAGGGTAGTTAACGCTAACGGATCAGAGGGGTCGTTAATGCTAACGGATCAGAGGGGTCGTTAACGCTAACAGATCAGAGGGGTCGTTAATGCTAACGGATCAGAGGGGTCGTTAACGCTAACGGATCAGAAGGGTAGTTAACGCTAACGGATCAGAGGGGTCGGTAACGCTAACGGATCAGAGGGGTCGTTAATGCTAACGGATCAGAGGGGTCGTTAATGCTAACGGATCAGAGGGGTCGTTAACGCTAACGGGTCAGAGGGGTCGTTAACGCTAACGGATCAGAGGGGTCGTTAATGCTAACGGGTCAGAGGGGTCGTTAACGCTATCGGATCAGAAGGGTAGTTAACGCTAACGGGTCAGAGGGGTCGTTAATGCTAACGGATCAGAGGGGTCGTTAACGCTAACGGATCAGAGGGGTCGTTAATGCTAACGGATCAGAGGGGTCGTTAACGCTAACGGGTCAGAGGGGTTGTTAACGCTAACGGATCAGAAGGGTCGTTAATGCTAACGGGTCAGAGGGGGTCGTTAACGCTATAGGATCAGAAGGGTAGTTAACGCTAACGGGTCAGAGGGGTCGTTAATGCTAACGGATCAGAGGGGTTGTTAATGCTAACGGGTCAGAGGGGTCGTTAACGCTAACGGATCAGAGGGGTCGTTAATGCTAACGGATCAGAGGGGTCGTTAACGCTAACAGATCAGAGAGGTCGTTAATGCTAACGGGTCAGAGGGGTTGTTAACGCTAACGGGGGACACTCTCACTACTGAGAGCACTGACGTTGTGACATTTCTTTTCCGTGTGCGATAACAGTTTTCTTTTATCTTCCAGCTCCAGTTCCACAAAGCGATCTTGGCGCTAGGGTGATCGTAACTCCCATACTTTAACATAAGATCACTAAGATCTCTTTGTGGAACGGGGTCCATGGTTCCCGTCAACACACCAACCTGCCAGATCCGTTGTGATGTGGAAACGCTACCAGATAATGCACATTCCAACTGACACTGTTCCACAAAATATTGAACTTTGATTATTGTGCAAATGTTTACTAGTATAATATTCATGGCGAACAGCAACACGAATAGCTTAACCTGGCGCTTTCGACTCTGATGGTAGATAAACTAGGAGCCCAGGCTTTACGAGGTTAAGGGGGCCATGATAACATGTAGATTATTCATATTTACTGAAATGAGTCAACAATTAACCGTTGCACCGCGATATTAACCTCAGCCATACGGAATACCATACACTCGTGTATTTAGAGCATGACCAACTCAGTAGGAATTATTGATCAGTCGTCCCGACTGAATTAACCTTACGTTTGTTTGTTGTTTAACGCCGCACTCAGCAATAAAATGTCTGGAGTAGACAATCTAGTGATTGACATCATGAGCATCGATACACGCAATTGGGGTAGGCTGACATGCATCAACCGAGTCACCGATCCCGTTAGTCTCCTCTTTCGACAAGCATATTCGTTTGTTACAACAAGCATGGGTTGTTGAAGACCTATTCTAACCCGGATCTTCAAGGGTCGACTGCGTACGTAATTTGCGAGGTACAATTATTCAGTAATTTTAAGGTTGAAGTAGGTTTAAGATTGAAAGAATGGCACTTAAGAAAAACGTGTAAAATATACAAGGAAACTTCATTGAAGTCAAACATTTTTTTCTGATAACGTAATGCTTTTGATTATTGACGTCACTTGTGTTTTCACTGATGACGTCTAATCAATTCAACTGACCACAGCATTGAAATCGTCAAAATTCGCATGTGCAAATATCAGACAGTTGTAATTAGTATCGATATGTAACCTTTTAAGGCCGACTTATTATATATACTCATCAAGTTTATTAAGCAGTTTGACCGCCCGTTAAGATCCGGGTTAGAATAGGTCTTCAGCAGTCAACTGAGGCGACTAACAGGATCGGTTGGTCAGGCTCGCTGACTTGGTGTTGCTGCTTCTCCGAATGGCATAGAATGATGTCAGTCACAGAATTATGTAGCCCAGACTCGATTGTTTACAGACCGGCATCATATAGCTGGAATACTGAGTGCGGCGTTAAACAACAAACCAAAAAAACAAAAATCAGTCTGATCATATATTGTCCTAAAATTTCACACCCAAAGGTGATTGTGAAAATAAACCAGCTTTTGTTTATCTCGATAAATCAGAAATAAATGTATGCACATTTCTCCTAAAATAGTGTATGGGGTTCCGTATCGCGTCATGAACAAAGTATTTATATTGCGGTACATGCAGTCTCCTGGCTTGCCTAAATCCCCTATCCCCAACCCAAAATGATGAGATATAATTGATTTTGTTAAAATTATTTAACTTGTCGCTACAACAATCTTGGATAGGGTTGGAGGATTGAAGGGTTGGAGGATAGGGTTTGAAGGATTTTACCTGTGCCCCGACTGAATTCTATTTCAATCAACTGAATATATTCACTCCTAAATTAAATAAGAATCAAATCATTAACTGAGTACAATGAAGGCCAGTAATCATGTGACTAATGTTTCTGACGTCACAGCACCTGTTCAGGGACAAACTTCAGGCACCCTTTGGCCAAAAATAATGCTATGATTAATTTTATAAAAATCCGATCTTAGTTCTCGCTACTGCAAAACAAAGATCTGAGGAGATCCCATTGCGGGTCACGTCAGAACGACCTTCCATCCGACCAATCAGAGCGTCGCTGTAATGGGATCTTTGTTTAGCGGTAGCAAGAACTGAGATCTGTTTTTAATGATATTGTGCTATGATATACACTACCGGGCAAAAGAGTATACACTTGTAAATTGGATTTGACTAAAACATACCTCTATCGTTAGATACTCATCAATACGATGCATGTACTATTGCCAATGATACCCGTACCAATTATTTCTCCATCGATGTATCTGAATATGCAGGCACTCATTGACCAAAAATAATGTTATGATGTACACCCCCGGGCAAAAAAAGTATACACTTATAAATTGGATTTGACTTCAATACATCTATCCTTAGATACCCATCGATGTTATTCATGTAATATCCCCTATGACACCCGTATAAAATATTTCACCATCGAATAACTATTTTTTAATTGATTTGTTTTCACTATCAACTAAACATAGGAGTATACTTTCTTTCCCCCGTTTAATAGTAATCGACATATTCCAATTTGAGATATTGAAAACATAAAACACTTTCAATTTAGTTTTTAAAAATGATAATGTTCACTCACATTAATATGTGTTAGGTAGGATAGGTCGTGTCAACAGTAAAAGTTGTAAACCATATGAACAGCGGAAGTGACGTCACAGCTGGAACATCGGGAATTTGATGGGATGGCGCCAAGTTTTCCAATTAAAGAATATGCTTTCCAAAAAGTAAAATATAAATCTTCATGTTTTAATAATCTGAATTCTACTTAAATTTCAGGTTTTGATTGTATCAACGTTCAACATTATTTATGATTTATATTACGATTAACTCTGACGAAACCTAGGGGAATTAATAGCTTGAAAGTTTCATATCTACAACATAAAGTTGGCGACGATTGTGAATGCAAGCAGAAACTCGAAAAGCAGTATTGATGCACCGGTCGAAGCCCCGGATATTGGAGGAGTGTCTTGAATGAAGACACTGACTCGGTCCAGGCTCCCGTTGTTCGGCGCTGGCTCTATGTTGAGCAGTTTACACACGAGAGGGTAGATGTCGACATTCTGGATTGGATCTGATTTGAAGTTGGTCTTGAAGTTGGGTCCTCTAGCTAGAAATATAGGCTTCATAGTCATCAATCTGTTGTCGAAGCCGTGTGTGCCTTTAAGAGTACTTTTTTCGTTGTCTTTCTGGAATTGTAAGACAACAGAAACCAGTTCACAAACCAATAGTCTTCCCTGAATAATATTGGGACACCATGAAGCTTTTGATTTCTCTTTCCTATGCGTTCCAGACAACGACTTACCCAAGAGTGAGTGAGTGAGTATGGTTTTACGCCGCTTTTAGCAATATCACGGCGGGGGACACCAGAAATGGGCTTCACACATTGTCCCCATGTCGGGAATCGAACCCGGGTCTTCGGCGTGACGAGCGAACGCTTAAACCACGAGGCTACCCGACCGCCCCTTACCCAAGAAGACCATCATTTGTTGAAACCTTATTGCGCTAGATATAGGCTCGTCATCATTTGTATGGACCTAACTACGCTTAACGTCAGAACACCAACCAACATGTGGGTGATCAAAACATGCTTAATTACAGACGACCATAAGATGGGTTCACCTAACACGTTAAACCCAAGAAAATCGCTATGTGTTGCCACCTAGTTACGTCTTACTTCAGGAGGGGCGGTCGGGTAGCCTAGTGGTTAAAGTGTTCGCTCGTCACGCCGAAGACCCGGGTTCGATTCCCGACATGGGTACAATGTGTGGAGCCCATTTCTGATGTCTCCCGCAAAGGTATTGCTGGAATATTGCTAAAAGCGGCGTAAAACCATACTACCACTACGGGATAGAACATCCAGAAGTTATATTTTGTTGAGGTTTTACAGGGTCAGTAAACAACATCCACTCGTCTTAACGTTCTTTGGTAACTACCAGGGATTGTCTCCAGTGATGTTCTGAGGCTCAGAGAGTAATAATCAGCTGCCGCAGCAGCATACACACTAGCAGTCCACAATAACAATTACCGTATTCGACGTAATAAGCGCCCACGGCGATATTTGCTGATATATTGGCTAGTGAACAATCCCAATTAGCATCCCTTCCGATTGATCAATGTACACGAGACTTATTTATTCGTGTATATTACGCACCCGTGTGTTATATGCACCCTTAATTATGGGCAATTATATTCTGGAAAAATATGTCGTATATAAACAGTTCAGGCCGTCAGCATAAACCACAAAATTTATCTTTCAACTCAAACTTTCCACCAAAATATCATTCTAATAAGAGCCCCCTATTTCAAATTTTGAGAGCGCCCTGGGCACTTATTACGTCGAATACGGTAACAATTTAACACCAGAATAAAGACTATCTGTAGTTGTGCAATCGTCAACTCCGTGCACCCTGCCACCTTACGTTATAAATCATCCATCCCTCATCTGCTATGGCGATGATAGGCATGATCCTCCTGTTGTTCTTGTAGTGGAAGTGGTCGGGGATGTCGTCCTTCTTGAAGGCTGTGATGTGGGACACGTTGCGGAGGAGGGCCATGACGGCGTCCTCTCGTCCCGCCACAGGTTGAATATGAGCGACCGGGCCGACGCTCGGTACGCGGACGATATCGGAATTGTTCAAATAACTCTGGAGGTCAAGTGACTGAAAAATGGGATTAAACATCACTGGCATTGAAATGGAAATATTGGTCTGGTGGCATTGTGACGTCATCGTCAAGATGAGTGGTCTGGCTCCATTTCCCGCACGGTAAATGTGTTAATGGTGTTCCTGTAATTCTAAAAGTTACAAGGGACCATGCACCCCCCCCCCCCCCCCCCCCCACCCCACCCCACCCCACCCCACCCCCCACCCCCCTCACTCGCTCAACCATTAACTCAAACACCCATCCACTTGCTCCCCCTTCTTGCCTCCCTCTTTCAACCACTCATTCACTCACACACCCGCCCATAACCCCAACCACCCGCTCCACTCGCACAACCGCTCACCATTCAACCGCTCTCTCAACTACCCACTTACGCAATCTCGCTCACTCAACCATCCATCTACACACTCATTCACTCAACCATTCAACCACTTACTGATCCACCCACTCACTCAACCAATCACCCACACACTCACTCAACCAATCACTCAACCATTCACTCAACAACCTACACATCCACCCACTCACTCAACCACACCATCACCCACTCACTCAGTCGCTCAACCATTCAACCACTTACTGATCCACCCAATCACTCAACCACCCATCCACACACTCACTCATTCACTCAACCATTCAAACACTTACTAAACCATCCAATCACTCAACCACCCATCCACACACTCACTCATTCACTCAAACATTCAACCACTAACTAAACCATCCACTCACTCAACCATTCACCAACACACTCACTCAGTCGCTAAACCATTCAACCACTTCCTGATCCACCCACTCACTCAACCAATCACAAATACACTCACTCAGTCGCTCAACCATTCAATCACTTACTAAACCATCCACTCACTCAACCACCCACACACTCATTCAGTCGTTCAACCATTCAATCACTTACTAAACAATCCACTCACTGAACCACCCATCCACTCACTCAACCATTCAATCACTTACTAAACTATCCACTCATACAACCACACATCCACAATCTCACTCAGTCGCTGAACCATGAAACCACTCACTCAACCATTCACTCAACCTTTCACTCAACAACCCGCCCATCCACCCACTCACTCAACCACCCACCCACACACTCACTCGCCCACTCAACCGTTCAACCACTCATACAACCACACATCCACAATCTCACTCAGTCGCTCAACCATGCAACCACTCACTCAACCATTCACTCAACCTTTCACTCAACAACCCGCCCATCCACCCACTCACTCAACCACCCACCCACACACTCACTCGCCCACTCAACCCACCCATCCACTCACTCAACCACACCATCACCCACTCACTCTCTTTACTTAAAGGGGGACCATGCTGGATGGTCTCTCTGTAGATGTTGAATTTAGATCCCCAGATGAAACATTGCTTCTGTACGGGTCGGGTAATCATTATTTTCTACACTGATGGACTCACCCTTGTTTTACTGATTGAAGTCATGCCATGGTCGCTGGTTACAATGAGATTCACCTCGTTTTCAAGACCATTGTCCTTCATTTTCTGCACGAGGTAACCAAGGATACCATCCATTTCCTTGACCTTTTGAATGATCTGTGGAGAATCTGGACCAGACACGTGTCCAGTATGGTCAGGTTCCGGATAATACAGTGTCGCCATTTGGACGCCTTTGGTCTTGAACCAGTCAATGACTGTATCCACTCGCTCCTTGTATGGGGTGTGATCACTGTAGTTTAACCAATAGTCGGGGCGCACACCTCGAATCTCAACCTCACTGCCGGGCCAGTAGTAGGTGCCCGTCTTGAGGCCCTGGAAGTGGAGGTGTATATGTGACAGTGTGTGAGTGAGTATGGTTTTACGCCGCTGTTGGCAATATTCCAGCAATACCACGGCAGGGGACACCAGAAATGGGCTTCACACATTGTACCCATGTGAGGAATCGAACCTGTGTCTTTGGCGTGACGAGCCCACTACACCACAGCCCTGTATACTTAACAATCAATGCATAAATCAGTCAATGTGTAAAGTGTGATTCACTTAGACAATTTACAAATTGCCTAAATATTTCAATCATTTCACAAATTGAGAGAACACTCCATTTATTTGACTGATTGACTAAAAGATATTAAGAAGTTAAAAAGGCCTTAAAACATCACATTGAACTTATTATGCTAGGATAAGAAGCCAAACTAAATTTTAAAAACACATTACATTGACTTTCGTTTCCTTTTAATCCTTTCATTTTCAGTCACTGGGTCGTGAATTTCAGCATCAAAATGTTTGGAATTCGTTAACATATTCAAAAAATGAAAGATGTTTCAGTCAATTTGTAAAAAAGGTGAAATATTTTCGCGTTTTTTAATAAATCGCCTAAGTGAAGATTCAGTAATTTTACATATTGACTGTAACATAATATATAACAGTTACATTTTTCTTAGAAGGCAGTTGTGATCTCCAATCAGAATCAAAGATTTACACTCTTCAAACAAAGAAACGCACAGGTAGTATGTAAATTTAGTTCATTGAACCTGACTACACAAAACATCCGGTATATAAATTGGATACATGTTATTTGAAAATGTTATTGGCCTGATATTCGACAAAAGGTGCGTCAAAACGCAGCCATTGTTGATTTGTAATGTCTTAAGCGGCATTGTTTTCACACTTGTTCAAAAATGTCATGGAGGAAAACAGTAAAGCAAAATGCACGTGCAAGTTATGGCATTCGTAACTGTGGTAGTGGCTAAAAAAGGCAAGCATAAGCCAATAATTTGTCATTCAATTGTCAACATGTTTCAAGTTCGGATATTGCCGAAAACTCTGACGATCGACGATCGGACCTTCGCCATAGGACGTATCCAAAGGGGGGAATCGCAGTTTTCTGTTATACGCCACTTCAGTGTCCACCACAGCACCATTTGCCACCTTTGTGACCGATACACGCAGTTCAATTCCACTGCAGATCGTCCGAGAACCGTCCGACCAAGAGTTATCACCCTTGCACAGGATCGCAACACTGGACTGTTCCACCTACGTCATCGCAATGCCACAGCTACGGCGACTGCTGGACGCATCCCTGGTTTGAGGAGGATATCGGACCAGACTATCAGGAACCATCTTCGCGAGGCTGGAATCCGACCCAGAAAACCAGTTATCGTCCGTTTTGCAATAGATCCATCGACAGCGACGCTTGCGTTGGTGCCATACCTTACAGCCTTGGAATTTGAGAAACTGGAGACGAGTGTAGCTTAGCGATGAATCACGATTACGTCTTCACCGGCGAGATGGAAGACAACGTGTTTATCGTCGTCGAAATGAGCGTTTTGCCCCACATTGTGTACGTGAATTCTACAATTTCGATGGCGGTAGAGTCATGGTGTGGGGGGCCATATCCTACACCACGAGATCTGACTTGGTTGTGGTTCAGGGAAATTTGACAGGAATTCGCTACATGAATCAAATTCTTCAACCTCACCTTCTTCCAATCATTGACCGCCAGAGGGGGCTGTTTCAACAGGACAACGCTCCACCGGACACAGCTCGTGTAACGGTAGACTACCTACCTAATACCAACATCAACGACTTGCCCTGGTCGTCGAGATCTCCAGATCTCAACCCAATCGAACACCTCTGGGATGAACTCGATGGACGTGTACGTCAACGTCACAACACGCCGCAGACACTCCCAACGCGTTACAATGGGGCAGAATTCCGCAGGACAGAATTCGTACACTTATCCAGTCAGTGCCGAGGAGATGCAGAGCCGTGATTGCTGCCCGGGGCGGGCCCGGAGTTCAGCGCAGCCATGTGGCGACAACATGTGACTATCGAGCTCCAAAATTTCATTTATGTATCTATGATGTTAAATTAAATATATCGACTTTATTAGGTACAATAAATTTACTAAAAATCTACCTGTGCGTTTTTTAAGAGTGTATGACTGAAAGGGATGAAGAGTAGCCAGATACTTAGCATATTGCTAAAAGCAGCGTAAAACCCTACTCGCTCATCCATGTGATCCTATGGCCCGTGTCACAGAGTACCCGTAGCCCTATGTTATGACGTGAAATGGTGTTTAACGTGGTGGTGATGGTGAAATTGGATTTAACGTCGCGATCAAATTTATTGCGCTTATATAGCGATGTGCATACGTCAGGCAGGGTAACAACAAGTACCATCTTTTAACTTCAGTTGGTATAACGCGGTCATGGAACGAAGCTTCAACCGTACGCTCTCCGGGCAGACGCTTTATCCACTGGATCATGGAAGCGTATTGTAGGCCCACGGCTGTCTATGTATGGGAGTCGATGAGGGGCTACAATGAGTCAGCTTCTTTAGGCGATCTTAAATGAACATGAGAAACGTTTTAGCTGAAAAAAAGGAAATATTATTTGAAGTACCTGTTTTTTGGCTGTGACCCACAATGGTTCTCCCCCATTCCACCAGCGAGGCTCGTGGGTCCTCATTGAGAAAGTAGAATTGAACACTGGGTCATACATGTGGTTCTCCGTGATCCCGTGACTCTCCTCATGCAGGCCTGGGTAAAACAGTGAGTGAGTGAGTGAGTGAGTGAGTGAGTGAGTGTGTGAGTGAGTGAGTGGGTGAATGAGTGAGTGAGTGAGTGAGTAAGTGGGTGGGTGAATGAGTGAGTGAGTGAGTGGGTGGGTGGGTGAATGAGTGGGTGAGTGAGTGAGTGAGTGAGTGAGTGAGTGTGTGTGTGTGGGGGGGTGAGTGAGTGAGTGAGTGAGTGAGTGAGTGAGTGAGTTTAGATTCTACTTGAAACTTGACTGTCCAACTACATTCGCGCATTCTCTGAAGTCGTAAAATGTACTACAGCCTAAGCACCCGTGAAAATCCGGGTTAGAATAGGTCTTCAGCAACCCATGCTTGCCGTAAAAAGCGACTCTGCTTGTTGTAAGAGGCGACTAACGGGATCGGGTGGTCGGGCTCGTTGACTTGGTTGACTTGGTTGCCTGAGCAACACGTAGTCCTGTCCCTCTCTCCATAACACACACTGTCTATAACAAGCACTGTCTATAACAAACTCAGCTACTTACCAGTCACCATGGTGTAGTGGTTGGGAAACGTCTTCGTCACAAAGCTGTTGTTCATGTAGGGCAGCTTCACGCCGTGCCTGGCGAAGTCGTCAAAGTTGGGGGTTTCCACCTTGTCCAGGTAGTCGTACCGGAAGCCGTCCATGGAGACGAGCAGCAGCTTCCCGGTGTAGTCCGCCATGACAGACGCCACCAGACCCGCCAGGAGCAGGAGGAAGATGGAGGAGGACATTGTGTGAGATCAGCTGAAACACGGCAAATATCAATACAGTGTCTTAGACTCAGCAACAATGAAAACCAGACCTCTGCACTGATCGTGGCTGTGTTTGATGTGTGTGTCCCACTTTGGATCTGTGGTACTGATTACGACTACAAAGTTATCTAAGCCGTACCTTTGGTTATAGTGTACCATCTGAGAACACTAGAAAGCACATTCCAGGCGGTGCGTGTATGTGAGTGCGTGTATGTGAGTGCGTATATGTGAGTGTGTGTATGTGAGTGCGTGTTTGTGAGTGCGTATATGTGAGTGTGTGTATGTGAGTGCGTGTTTGTGAGTGCGTGTATATGAGTGCGTGTTTGTGAGTGCGTGTTTGTGAGTGCGTACATGTGAGTGTGTGTATGTGAGTGCGTGTTTGTGAATGCGTATATGTCAGTGTGTGTATGCGAGTGCGTGTTTGTGAGTGCGTGTTTGTGAGTGCGTACATGTGAGTGTGTGTATGTGAGTGCATGTTTGTGAGTGCGTATATGTGAGTGTGTGTATGCGAGTGCGTGTTTGTGAGTGCGTATATGCGAGTGCGTGTTTGTGAGTGCGTATATGTGAGTGTGTGTATGTGAGTGGGTGTATGTGAGTGTGTGTATGCGAGTGCGTGTTTGTGAGTGCGTATATGTGAGTGTGTGTATGTGAGTGGGTGTATGTGAGTGCGTGTATGTGAGTGTGTGTATGTGAGTGCGTATATGTGAGTGGGTGTATGTGAGTGCGTGTATGTGAGTGTGTGTATGTGAGTGGGTGTATGTGAGTGGGTGTATGTGAGTGCGTGTATGTGAGTGCGTATATGTGAGTGTGTGTATGTGAGTGGGTGTATGTGAGTGTGTGTATGTGAGTGACTGTTTGTGAGTGCGTGTATGTGACTAAGTGTTTGTGAGTACGTGTATGTGTGTGTGTGTATGTGAGTGGGTGTTTGTGAGTGGGTGTATGTGAGTGACTGTTTGTGAGTGCGTGTATGTGAGTAAGTGTTTGTGAGTGCGTATATGTGAGTGTGTGTTTGTGAGTGTGTGTTTGTGAGTGCGTGTATGTGAGTGCGTGTTTGTGAGTGCTTATATGTGAGTGCGTATATGTGAGTGCGTATATGTGAGTGTGTGTTTGTGAGTGCGTGTATGTGAGTGCGTGTTTGTGAGTGCGTGTATGTGAGTGAGTGTTTGTGAGTACGTGTATGTGAGTGCGTGCAGATCGGGTGGTCAGACTCGCTGACTTGGTTGTTGCATGTCATCGATCCAAATTGCGTGGATCGATGCTCATGAAATTAATCATTGGATTGTCTGGTCCAGACTCGATTATTTACAGACCGCCGTCATATAGCTGGAATATTGCTGAGTGCGGCGTTAAACAACAAACCAACCAACCAACCAACCAACCAACCAACCAACCCACTTTGGGTCTATGGTACTGATAATGATTGTGACTACAAAAAAAACTTTTAATACTTTAGGTAAAGCTTTTGACCTTCAGTACATTGAATGCTTATGTCAGCGATTCACGGTAAATTACCATCGGATTTAAGCAAACAGCTTAAACTACATCTTCCCGGTGCAAGGGACTTAACTAAATCCTGTTTCCACCCTTGCCGAACTAGACTGGAATGATTAAGTTTTATATTTTGGCTGGACTAAAGAGTCTATGTGGGTGAAGTTTGATGCCGTACACATACTACAGTTTTGTTAGGACAGTCTGAAAATACAAGGACAAATGTTATAAATAGTGTGAGTGGGTGAGTTTAACCCCTCGACCAAAATGTGGGAAGGAGGTGAGGTGAGGTGAGGTGAGGTGAGGTGAGGTGAGGTGAGGTGAAATTAGGTTTAGCATCGCGTCCACGATTATTGCGTGTGTGTGTGGCTGTTTGTACTAGTCCGGAATGATGCCGATTTATAGTGCTAGCTCACTGAGATACCATGCCGCAGTTTAACATGAATACCCCACTCAGACACAGTATACTGACTCCGAGCGGACCAGTCCTTGTTTTAGCCCCTTAATGCCGAGCGCCAGACAGGTTAACAACAACAACTACCATCTTTAAACGTCTTTTGGCATGACGCGGCCGGGGATCGAACCCCAGACCTTAGGCTCTCCGGGCGGACCCCCTACCACTAGACCACGGAGGCGGTCAATGAGTGAAGGAAGGCCAAAGTGAAGTGAAGTGCCTTGGATGACTATCTACCCTACCCCAAAATATCGTAAGGAGTCTAAAGTCATGGAAGCAATGTCCTTTGTTCACTTACACAAAGCATTCTTACGACTATCTTAAATCTATGTTAAAGTATGGCAGTTACGATCATCGTAGCGCTAAGGTCGCTTTGTGCAAGTGGGCCAAGGAGAGGAGTAAAGCCAAGGTAATTACGTCAAAGGAAACAAGATTCAAAATTCAAGATTCTTTATCTCAGGAGGCCTCGTGTCCCCATCTTCCGGAGGCAAGGGAATTAACTGACTTTAAAAGTCCAGTTTCCACCCTTGCCGAACTAGGCTGGTACTATGGAGTTAGATTTTGGCTGGACTAACGAGTCTATGCATAGTCCAATCAAAATCGCGCACCGAAATCGAAATACGGTTCCTAAAGTGTCATGCAGATTTCGGTCGACTGCAGGATTTGCAAAGCATGTGCACCGCTAGCTCGTTGTCAACAGATATTTTCTAAATCTTTTCATGTTTTAAATCAAGGTGCTCACGTGATTTGATGCACTTCGCCATGTAAGACTCGTTTTATCACAATATAGATCTTGATTATCGATCAGATCGTCTTGACTGGGCGCCATCGTTTTGTTTGAAGCAAATGCAAGTGATACGAGAGGTGGAATCTGATTGGTCCATAGGAGAGGCATAGAAGGAACATAACTCATAATAGCCACTGTTGGCGCTACGATCGAGCCAAGGGAATTCCAGCCAAGGTCGGCAAGGGTGGAAACTGGACTTTTAAAGTCAGTTAACTCCCTTGCCTCGGGAAGATGCGTGTCCCAGGCTACAATACATTTATATCTAATTCATTTGTGGATCTTGCACAATTGATATGCTGTTATTCCATGATATGTGACGTAATACATAGTTATATTTGTTTTTGTTGTTATTTATATTTCTCTTCACGGAAACAAGGCCAACTAATGCAGCCAAGGGCAAAATGTCAAGTTAATAACGTCAAGGACGCAATAGCAGGTGTAGAATGTGAAGGAAAAACTATCAAACTGAACACTTTCTAACCGATTTTTTTGTTGAAATCACAGTAATATCCGTATCTTAATACAGTTATGTCCCCTTTAGACAGAGTTTCGCCATAACCAAGTTCTATATAATTAGACAATCACATTAATGTAAGATCTTAGTTCTAGCTATCGCTAAACAAAGATCTGAGGCCATCCTATTACGGGTCACGTCAGAAAGACCTTTCATCAGACCAATTAGAGCGTCGCCTATGTCGTTCCGGACGTGATCTTTGGGTAGCGGTAGCGAGAACTAAGATATGATTTTAACGCGATTGGATAATGAAACTGTTTGTTAGTGTAGACAAGCAGCATGCAACATTGCCGAGCACGTCTCGACCCTGAAATATATACATAGTCCAGAGTTTTGTAACATATCATGTTAAGCGTTTTGATGTCGGGACCTAGAGTGTCAAGCGATAGCTATACATTCTGCAACCACTCTTATTTTGTAATTCTATCCAAACTAGTGTGACAGTCTATGGGTCTAAATGGTGTTGTGTGTCGCTCGAGGCAAAGCACAGAATAGACAATCTATGCAAGTCAAATACCACCTTGATACATAGTCAACGTAACGATAGAGTGAGTGAGTATGGTTTTACACCTCTTTTAGCAATATTCCAGCAATATCACGGCGGGGGACACCAGAAATGGGCTTCACACATTGTACCCATGTCGGAAAACGAACCCGGGTCTTCGGCGTGACGAGCGAACGCTTTAACCACCAGGCTACCCGACCGCCCCTCGAGGTATTATGAAACAATCTATCAGATGCTTATTTTGATCTGCTCTTACGACAAACTAGGGGTATTGGAACATCATTGTTTGGCCTGAACCCCCTTGGGGTACCATATCCGGTACCCTGACCCCATTTCCCCTAGAATTTATTACCTGACAGCATAACCAGATACCAGTTGTCCGACCTCTGAAAGTATCCCCAGTACTGATAACCTTGATAGCTGCCCCTCAAACTCTTGTACACTGACCTTGAAACTGACACCAGTCGTAGTGCTAATCCGTTATTTTGGCATAAAGAATAACCTCTGTAAAGTCTCCGCGTCAACTCCGGTACTCCCTTGAACCTCAGGTCAGCAGACAACTGATACATGCCTCTGTTGCCAGTGATGTGTCCTGATACTGGACCCTTGTTTTTGTCACTGTCATACAAACCCTCCATACCTATCAGCGGTGAGTTCGATCAAGCTGTGCACTATCAACATATCAAGAGTCAACACGTATTAATGTCACCTCCAGAAACGCCTCTGTGGTCTAGTGGTAGAGCGTTCGCCGGGAGAGCGGAAGGTCCGGGTTTCGATCCCCGTCCGCGCCATACCCCAAAAAATAAAAGATATTACTTGTTGTTGTCCTGCCTTGCACTCGGCACTAAGGGGCGTAAACAAGGACTGGTCCGCTCGGAGTCAGTATACTGTGTCTGAGTGGGGTGTGCATGTTAAACTGCCGCATGGTATCTCAGTGGGCTAGCACTATGAAATAGGCATTAGTCCGGATTAGTACAAACAGCCACACACACACACGTACATGCACATCGCTATATAAGTGCAATAATCTTGGACGAGAGGTTAAATTCCATTTCACCTCACCTAACCTCACCTCTGGAATTTAATCTTAAACACTTGCTCGGGTAACAGTCAACATCACACATTGACTAAAGCCAAATAGGATATACATCATTGATAACATCGTAAGTTTCAAGAGCTAACGATTTCAGCGGTAAACATTCAAAAGGGATGTTCTCACAAAAACAAAACTATTTCTTTTACTT